AAAAAAAAAAAAAAAAAATCCAACCAGTAAAGACCCATTGAGAATTATCAAAATGTCTAGGAAAATATGTAGAATTTGATCACTGATAATACTGAGAATTGAACATACAAGCTATTTTAATAAAATCATCTAAAAATGGAATAATTAAGACATTCAATTCTTTTCTTTCTTGGATTTTGTTTGTTAAATTAAACTATATCAATACAAACAAATAGCTGAACAAATCCAGTATAACGATTTTTCCTCCTGACCAGTAAGCTATTTGTTTTCATATCTAATCAATATAACATGAACAGCACAGCACAAGTCAATCATGTGTTTGATCTGTGGTTTAAATGTAAATATCTCCCTATAATACATCTTTCAATACAGCGAATGTTAATTCCTTTTATTTAAATAGATTGAGAGACTTGACATGATTTTAATATTCAAACTGTTTTCGATTAGGAGATATAAAGCCAGACATGTCATTTCCATGAGGAGTGACGGGCACTTACCTTCGCTATCTGGACGCACCAGTTAAGCAGTAGCTGTGATCCAATGTTATCCTTGTGTTCGTGCACATAATCCAACAGGCAGCCATGGGGCATAAGCTGTGTAACCAGCTGGATAGTTGGGCTCAAACAAACACCCAATAACCGGACTAAGTGTGGATGGTCCATACTTGCCATGATCAGGGCTTCCTATAAGAAAAAATAGAACACCCTCATTTCAACTTAAAGTTTTTTATAATTACAGTTACTTGCACTGAATTAATGGTGCGGATAATGATTTTGAACATGTACTCTCACTCAGTGGAATCAATTAAAAATGAAAAGACATTATTGTAGCCATTATAATTTTAAAGTGATTTAATTCAAGTGAAACTAAATGAAAAACAAAGACTATACATTCATGAAAATGGAAAATGTTATAGAATAACTGCATACAAAATTAATAACAGGATTTTCTCTTTTTTAATATGAACAATATTAGATTTTATCTACTGCCAAGTATGTTGAAATTGAATCCTAAATTACAATGGATTTTTAACCTTTGATCTTTGGTTCTAGAGTACAATAATCTATATAAATGCAATTCTGAAAAATCAAGAATTGAGAGTATAAGCATATTATTTAGATACATGTAGTTGGGAAAATTGATAAAGGAAATCTTATTCAAAATAGAGTTGAGAAGCCAGGAAGGGGAACTCCCACATACATACCCCCAGCCTACATAACCAGAAGGAAGAAGGAAGATGCTTTCCTTCCTCAGTGACAATGCACTAACCACTGCTTGTAGCCAATGAGAAACCGCAACAACCTCAAACTCTTGTTCTCCTCCAACGGAATTTTGTTCAAATAACCCTCCCCAATTTCCTCCTAAAACCTAATAAAAGCTGACCTTCATTTAGTCTCTTTGGACTTGCCTGTGGTTTGCCATGGTGTGCTTGTCCTGAATTGCAATTCCTCAGCTATTCTCAAACTCAACTTCATTCTGATTATTTTTCAATTGTTTTAAGATTGACATTATATGGTGTCAGCAGTGACATTTGAAGGAGACAAACCCCTGAGGAACTAACAACACCCAGGATCACGTGTGGTCCCCACTGGAGCCCCTTGTGCTCTCCATTTCTGTGGGTCATTCCATTCCTTTTGGTTCAGTAAGTCTCCTCTCGGATTCGAGATCCCTGCCTTTGGTTGAGCCCTCCAAATTTAGTTTTCATGAAGGCATTACCCTTCCTGGTGAGTACAGTAGTCCTCCCCTTATCTGTGGTTTCGCTTTCCATGGTTTCAGTTACACAGTCAACCATGGTCTAGAAACAGATGACCCTCCTTCTGACATTCCATCAGAAGGTCAATAGCAGCCTAACACTATGTCACAATGCCTATGTCATTCCCCTCACTTCATCTCATCACATACACACTGTATCATCTCACGTCATCACAAGAAGAAGGGTGAGTACAGCACATTAAGAAATTTTGAGAGAGAGAGACCACATTCATGTAAATTTTATTACAATACATTATTATAATTGTTCTATTTGATCATTGGTTATTGTTGTTAATATATCTCTTACTGTACCTAATTTATAAATTAAACTTGATCGTAGGTATGTATGAACAGGAAAAAAAATTGTATATATAGAGTTCAGTATTATCTGCAGTTTCAGGCATCCACTGGGGGTCTTGGAACATATCCTGCATGGATAAGGGGGCACTATGGTACTCTTTTGTTGTCTACACTCCAATTTGTTAGTTATGAGATCCCAATCCTCCAAACACTCTCAAGAGGGCCCTCCTTCTGGGATGCCAGCTGGTTCAAAAATTATGGTCCTCCTCATGCGCATTCTTAACTAAATGGACCAACCTAACCAAAGGTATTATAGAAATTCAATGGCCATTATGGGAAACATTTGATCTCCCCAACTTGCTTTTCTCAGAACTAAGCTAGAAGACTGTGGCTCTAGGATAAAACAAACTGCATGGGATGCCCATTTTCATCAGTGCCTTGAGGCTTCCGAGCTTATTCAAGATTCTTTACCAACACAAAAACTTAATTTGATAAAGAAAAAAATTACAATTAAAATTAATAAATAAAATAATTTAATTTCTCAATTAACCTAGACAATTGGAAGAATGACAAAAGGCATCAGAAAGCTCTTCCTCCATCTCGCCCCTGTCGCTATTTTCTTCTTTCCCCGTGGCATCCACATCTCCTTCTCAATACCCTCCACTTCCCCATTCCAACTCTCTTGCTGAAGTTCCCTTTTTCTCAGAACCTCTTCCCATTCCCACTTTCTCTTCAACCAAATCCATTAAAATCTGCCCCTTTAAAATCAGACCTTCCAAGGACCCTAACTGTAAACCCCTAATTTATTGTGTTCCTTGGACTGAAGCCAAACTCAATGCCATAGTAAAAGAATTTCAGAAAGTTACTGAGCATCCTCACAGATTTGCCAGGGAATTTAATATAGTTGTCTAGACCTGCAACCCTGGTTTCTCAGACTTATATCAATTAGTCCATATGCTTGTTGGCGAGGGCCAAGCCCAACACTGGATGAAAACCACCAACTGGAATGATCCTGAAAGATGTCTAGAATTGCAGATGGAGGACCAACCCTTTGCCCTATTATATGTCCAGGCTCGTGGAATCGCTAAATGGCTCCACCAGGCAATTCCCAGCACTTTCCCAAAACCTGTTGATTGGACTAAGATCCAGGCTTGCATTCAGAAACCCAACGAGCTTGTGTGTGATTATTACAGTTGACTTCAAATTGTGTTCAAGAAAAATTCTGGCCTTCCTATGGATGTGGCATTCACTTGGGTGGCCTTCGACTCTATGTTCATTAATGATCTAGACTGAGATCTTTCTCTCTTGGCTAAAAGAACACAAATAGAATAGGAAACTATGTCCACTCTAGACTTAGTTAATTTTGCAAATCAATTAGCCCACATCCCAGATGATTCCACTAAAATCCTTAATCTCCAACTTCAACAGCGGGAGGCCCTGAAGCAAAATCCTCCTAGCCTCTGACATTATTGTAAGAAGCCAGGACATTGGAAGAAAAACCGCTATAAACTAAAATGCTCCAGGCGTCTTCAGTCATCCAACCAATCCTTCCAGTGTCCTCCCACTTCCCAATGATGAGACTTCAAGGAATCACAAGGACTTTTCACAATCCTTCCTCTTAACTGGTTTGGAGAAACAATTCTCCAGACTGGGACCAAATTTTTATCCATCCTTATTGATGCTGGAGCTACACTCTCAGTGCTCAACACCACTGCTATGTAACAGCCCCTGCCTCAAGGTACTAAAATGTCTCACAGAGTGGGGATCTCTAATAAACCTCAACAGGTCCCTATTTCTAAACCTATTTCCTTTTTTCTGGGCCCTCCAAGAAATACCTATTCTTTCCTACTTAGTACCTCTGCCCTCGTCCACTTACTGGGCCAAGACTACTCAGAAAAATATCATGCAGGAATTTCTTTCTCCCAATAGGGGGAAACAACTTTAGAATTTGATGGCAACAACCAAAATAACTTAGTCCAATGAACTGGATATATCTTCCTCAAAATCCTTTATTTGCACTATTTCTGACAATATCAAATCTGATGCCAAGGTTTCTAGCCATTTGCCCCTGTTGAATCAATTACCACCATCCCTATGGGCAAAATCATCAACTGATCTTGGTAGAATTCACAGTGCTCCTCCTGTCAAGATCTGAATGGATCCTTCAAAACCTTTCCCCAGAATTAATCAATACCCCATAAATGAAGAAGCGTTACAAGGAATCAAGTCAACCATACAAGATTAGAAGGCCCAAAGGCTTGTTATTTCTTGCACTAGTCCCTGTAACACCTACCCCTCTTTTACCTATAAAGAAACCCAATAGCCATTAGTGGAGGTTTGACCAAGACCTTCGGGTCATAAATAATAGAGCTATCCCTCATCACCCAGTTGTTCCCAACCCTCATACTTTGTTGGCTTCCATCCCTATCAGAAGCAAATTTTTCATTGTGATTAACTTATGTAGCCCTTTCTCTAGTATCTAGTAGATAAAGCCAGCCAAACACATCATCTTCACTTGGGAAGGACAACAATATACCTGGACAATTATGCATCAAAGTTTTACCAAAAGTCCTTCTTATTTCTCACAAATATTAAAGGCTGATCTAGATGATATAGAATTTCCTGGAGGTTTCACTTTATTACAACATATAGATGACTGACTTCTCTGCTCCCCTTCCCAAACCTCCTCACAGGAAGACAGTACTCACCTGTTAAAACTTTTAGCATCAAAAGGACATAAAGTCACCAAGGAAAACTTTCAGTTTGTTCAAACTCAGGTTTGAAAATTTGGACACTGATCTTGGAACAAAGGCTACATTTAGATACAGATAGGCTTCATGGCATCCTGAACTTTCCAAAACCCATCACTAAGCACCAATTACAAGGTTTTCTTGGGCTAGCTGGCTACTGCTGAAATTAGATTCCAAACTTTTCCTTTATGGCCTAACCTCTATATGTTTTACTAAAAAAAAACAAACCTGACCCTACTGTTTGGGAAGATCAAGATGATGTAGGCTTTAAAGCCTTAAAGGAAAAATTAATAAATACCCCAGTCTTTGAGATCCCAATTATCAATTTCCCTTTTTTCCTTCATATATGAAAAGGAAGGAAATGCACTTGGAGACCACCATCACCCCATAGGGTATTATAGCCCATAGCTAGACTCTGTGGCACAGAAAATACCCCCCTTGTCTCAGAGCCATTCCTGTCACTGCCATTTTGGTTAAGGCCACCAAAAAAAAAATAGTCATGGGATCCTCTTAACTATTCTTGTACCCTATGTGGCAGAAGCCCTTCTAAATTCTCATTACATTCAACATCTTTCAGCTAGTTGCCTCACCTCCTATGAAATCCTCCTGCTAATGGCTCCTCCTATAATCCTTTCTCGCTGCAATAACCTTAACCCTACCACCTTTCTTTCCTCTTTTATGGACGAGACTCCTCGTGACTGTTTGACTCTGACAGATCGCCTTCTGACTCATCACAATGATTTACAGGAAACTCCCTTAACCAATGTTGATTTCTCACGGTTTACCAGTGGTTCTTATTTAAAGAATGTAAATGACAAAACTGTGTTGGGTATGTGATTACAACCCCTTTTTAATTCATTAGGTGGCACTTTTGCATTTGG